GTCCTTTTAAGGGATCCATTTTGGATCTGTTCAGGAATTTAAGAGGTCCTTTAAGTTGTGCTTTTAAGGGGTCCTTTAAGTCCTTTTGGGGAATTTAAGAGGTTCTTGAAGGGTCCTTTTGAGGTTTTTTTAGGAATTTACGAGGTCCTTTAAGGGTCGTTTTAAGGGGTCCTTTAAGGTCCTTTTTAGGGTTTAGTGTTTAGGGTTTTAGGGGTCCTTCTAAGGGGTCCTTTAAGGTCTTTTCATCGGTCGAGGGTTAGAAGTTTTGGATTTACCTTAAGCCTGAATAGCCTACCTTTTTAGGGTTCCTTACTATGATTTCCTTATATAAGTCGTTAAAAAGGTAGGTTATTCCGCTCAAGGTAGGGTTTAGGAGTTTTGGGGGTTTAGGGTTTAGGAGTTCGGGGGTTTAGGGTTTAGGAGTTTGGGGGTTTAGGGTTTAGGGTTTAGGAGTTTGGGGGGTTTAGGGTTTAGGGAAGGCCTTTAAGGTCTTTCAAAGGGTCCTCGAGGAGGATCTTGAGGGGGTCCCTTGCGGGATTCTTTAAAGGGGTTTCTTTAGAGCCGCAGAGCATTTTGTTTATTTACGGTTTTGGGTCTACATGGGTCTAAGGTGTTTGGTTTAGGCTTGAGGCTTTAGGGGTTCATTTTCGTTGGAGGTTGTTATATGGCTTTCAGGAGTTTCCTCCAAGAGCTTCAAGGGTTCCTTAAAGGCTTCAGGAGGGGTTTGTGGCTTAAGGTGTTTAGATGGGTTTGTATGATGGGTTATATGGTTTTGTATCTATAGAACTTGCTGGCCTCAAAGATGGGCTTCAGAAATTGAGATCAGCTATGAAAGCTTAGTTTCCTTGATTTCTACGCTGGGGCCCGGCGTCAAAGGGCTGGATGCTTCAGGATCTGACTCAGACTCAGGGGCTCACTAGGTAATTTTGAGCCTTTGCTTGGGGATTAGATAGCCACAAAAAGATAGCATGTTTTTTGCGGGGTGGGGTGGGGGTGTAGGATACTCAGCCAGTAAGCCTATTAGTTTGGCAATTTAAAAGGTCAAGTCTTATGATGTTACCTTCTCAATGTCTTCGTGTCATTGTTATCATCAGCTGTTACTTGCTTAATTACGACAAGAGGTGGAGGTAACAACTAATCCGTTATTTCTGCGACGTTTGCGAGCAGTATGATTCTTGGTGTCATCTTTCTCACTTTAGGCGCGTTGCTCCGTGCAGGCTTTGGAATCGGAAGCCGCAGCGCGGAAGCGCTGGAGAAGCAGCTGCGGGGCATGGTGGAGGTCTTTGGCAAGGACCAGTATTGAGGGGTGTAGTTAAGTTAAATTCCCACGACCCCAGAGACCGCAAACCCTAGCCCTGCCCCCCCCCCAGAACCCTGACCCCCGCAAACCCCTAAACCCTGAACCCCATCAGACCCCGAAGCTTAAACCGTAAACCCTAAAACTTTAGCCCTCAGACCCTTGAACCCTAAACCCACCTTGCCCTACACCTGACATGTTGAGCCCTTATCAGGTCTATGATGGTTTATGAATTCCGCCCTAGTTCCCTGCACCCCGAATATGCGCACAACCAATCCCTAATCCCCAACACGTCCATACGACCGAAGAATCTTGCGCCAATCTGAAGCGGCTATTCCAAATCTTATCAGATTTCAACTACACCGCTCAATTATGCAGATACTTTGGGTATTGCCCCCTCTCAGTAACCATTGGATAATATTCATAATATAGGTATATTAGGCCGTTAATAGTAGCCCTGTTATAGACTGTGACTGTATGGGGGCAGAACCCAACAGATACTGCTGAACGTAAAGCTCAGAAGAGCTCCCCAAGCCGGTTTCACCAATCATAGGGGGCCAGAAGGGGTTTTAGCCTATGGGGGTTTAGTAGGGATTAGGGTTCCCATAATAGGGTTCATATTCAGGAATCCCTACCCCAAGAATCTTAAAGCCCTCTTTTGGCCTCCAATCAGACAATCTTACTCCTGAGCCCCACCCGAAGGCCTTAACTAACCATTGATATTGGGGGAGCTAAGGAGCCAGGGATGATGATAATCCCTATTAAGAAAGGAGCTAAAGAGCCAAGGGAACCCCCAAAACCACTGGTTAGTTAATTCCGAGACCCCTAACCCGAAACTCTGAACCCTAAACCCCAAACGCCTAAGTCCCTTAGCCTGTCCCACACCCAAAGGCCGGTTGTTCTCACGAAGTTGTTCCAGGAGCCTTCTGCCGATGCTCCTATGTCCGATAGTGAAGATTCTTGGTCTCTTCGTGCAGAGGCTCCTTTGGGCTTAGGGTTTAGGGAGTTTAGGGCTTATAGGGTTTAGTGGAGTTTAGCGGTTTAGGGTTTAGGGAGTTTAGGGGTTTAGAAAGTTTGGGATCAATCAAGGGTTTAGGGTTTAGTTTGGCTCCTGTGAAGGGTTTCTACTTGGAGGTTCGGGGGGGCTTAGTAAGTAGGGTCATAAGTAAGGTAGATCTAGGTACAGCTACTGATAACTTGTACATTGAAAATCCAATTAAGGTACCTTTAGCCCCACATACTAAGTCCCGCGATCCTGCAACTTATACCGTAAACCCTAAAACCCAAAACCCTTCGGTGGAAAAAGGGGCGTTAAACAAACAACCTAAACCACAAAACCCTAAAGCCCTTGGTGTACTTAGTTTTTTGGAGTTCAGGTATGATCTGGATATTGAGTCTCCACAAGTTCGTGTTTGAATTCGTATCTAGATTAGTCTCCGAATTCGTGTCTGGGTCGCGTCCGGGTTGTCTGGGCTCGTGTCGGGTTCGTGTCTGGTGCGTGTCTGGGCGTATCTTGTTCGTGTCCATTCCGCAGTCTGGTTTGTGTCTGGGTTCGTGTCTGGGTTCGTATTTGGGTTCTTATCTGGGTTCTTGTCTGGTTCGTATCTGCTGCGTATTGCGGTTCTTGCCCGATTGAGGGTTGGTTCGTGATTGCATTCGTATTTAACAATTGGTATCTGGATCGCGTCTGGCTTCGTGTCTGGTTTCGTACTTGGCTAGTATTGGGATTCGTATCGTGTTCTTGTCTGGTGCGTAGTTGGTTCGTCATTGAATCGTTTCTGGTTTGTATTTGGAATCGTATCTGGATTGATTCGTATTTGATTCGTATCTGGCTCGTATATGGATTCGTATTTACTATTAAGGGCCTGCTCAGGAACCTAGTCCAAGGATTCATCTGTGATGAGTTTTAGGGCTCTTAAAAAAAGGAGAGCAGAGAAGGAGGGTTTAGGGTTTAGAGAGTTGGGTGTGCTGCCGTGGCGTGGCCTCAGTAAAGTTTAAGGTACATTGTCCATGCTTTTGTCGGAAGAAACCTTGCTGTTTTATTGGGTTTAAACGTCTGCTGCATGGAACTGGTGGCACACTTGAAGGCTCATGGTGACAACTTACAACTGGAATTAGAAGTGGGTAGTTGTTCGTTACTTATCACCCCATGTATTTGCAACTGCCCACGACGAGATCCTACAACTCGTTCTGCGGGCAGAACCACACAACAGGTGAGTAAGCTCTTTATCCACGGTCGCAGAGACTTGCGAGGCATTGTGTAAAAGCTGTTGAAAAATATGACTTCCACCCCCACCCCCCAACCCCTTAATATAGTAGGATTGTTGCTGCGTGGGGGGGGCGCTACCCAGCCCTTGACCTCGCAGGTGTCCCTCACTGCCGAAGCCCGAGCGAGCTTGGCACAGCTGGCCGAGTTGCCCGAGGACCCTCGTGTTTTTGGACTGGTGGGTTACGGCTTAATTAAGCTTTGTATTTGAGGATTTGGGCTTCAGTCTTTAAGGGTAATGAATTCTACTATCGTTGCACCCCCTATGAAGTTATCACAATTACTTCCGAAAGACCCTGTTCTAGTAGTTAAAGGCCCCTATTTAACGGTGACAGGCTGAGTGCTTCGAGTATGATGGCACAGAGTGGCCAAACCCTAAATCCTACGCCCTCAACCCAACTTCTAAAAAACACAAAACCCTCTGAGTCAGGATTCTGAGATCGGCGTCTCATCCCTGAAATCAGCGTCTTAGACTTGGTAGCGTAGCGAAGGCCACCGACCGTTTAGGTTGGTAGTGGCCCTCACAAGAACGGTCTATGCGAGCGCTCCTCTTTGGAGTTTGGGGTTTAGAGTTCTAGTTGGGGCGTATATATTTTTTTATACTTCGATATTTTTCAGCAAATACTGAGTGGGTGCAGTATCCAACGGCTAGGAATGCAACGACTCAACTCCGAGTCCCACTGCAGCCTATAACCTTTCTCTGCTCAGCACCGCTTCACTTAAGTCTGCGGCCCAAACCCTAAAGCCTATGATGCCCATAATGATCATCTTTCTCTGCTCAGCACCGCTCCACTTAGGCCTGCAGCCTAAACCCGAGGTCTCATACCCAGAATTCTTGGTCTTAAGCTTAAGCCTAAACCTTCGTTGCGGACTGGAACGGCAGCCAGAACGCGCCTGTTTTCAAAGGAGTAGGCCGAAGTACAGTTAACCCTCAACCTCACGCCCTAGAGCCTATAGAACCAGAATCCTCAACTTCCTAAACCCTAAACCCTGAACCTCAGGCCCTAGAGCCTATAGAATCCTAAACCGCCAAATTCCAGTCAGTGACATGCAGCCATCGCTGTCGCGATGAACTTTCACAGGGTTCCCTCTGCATGCGAGGCTATATATAAATATCCTGCACGATCTGCGTCTGCGTCGTATGCTTCGAGCCTGTGTGTTATACCTATGGAATTTAACACTCATGTCACCTTGACTGGCCTAACATGGGCGTGCCCTGCGTCGAGTCCTAGGACTCTTCTCGCTGTCGCTTGCTCTGCTGACATGTGCATGACTTGCTTTCCCCTAAACCCTAAACCCTAAACCGTCTTCGAAACCAGGCCCCAACCATCGGCTCCTCCTAGTACAGGAATTCTAACTGTTCTGCAGTTCGAAAAGGGCCCTTAAAAAAAAATAAAAAACCTAAACCGTTGCTTGCTTTCTTCGCAGTCCTTTTAGGACGAGTTCACGGAAGTGGTCGGGCGCTTGGGTGAGGAGGCCCGGGCAATGGAGTTCAGACCTTCAGGACCTTTTCTTGGGTAGTACAGGGTTTTGGGGTTTAGGGGTTGGGGGGTTTAGGGGTCTAGGGTTTTAGGGTTTAGGGTTTTGGGGTTTAGGGGTGTAGGGTTTAGGGGTCTAGGTTTTAGGGTTTAGGGTTTTGGGGTTTTGGGGTTTAGGGGTTTAGGGTTTAGGGGTCTAGGTTTTAGGGTTTAGGGTTTTGGGGTTTTGGGGTTTAGGGGTGTAGGGTTTAGGGGTCTAGGTTTTAGGGTTTAGGGTTTTGGGGTTTAGGGGTTTAGGGTTTAGGGGTCTAGGTTTTAGGGTTTAGGGTTTTGGGGTTTTGGGGTTTAGGGGTTTAGGGTTTAGGGGTCTAGGTTTTAGGGTTTAGGGTTTTGGGGTTTTGGGGTTTAGGGGTTTAGGGTTTAGGGGTCAGGGCATCCTGGGTACAATTAGGGAGACCTCTTTAGACGCTACCCCTGAACCCTACTTCTGGTTCTCTCAACACGGAGAGACGGTCTATATCCCCGAGGGTCCCCTTTAATCCTAACTCCTACCTTTGAAGCACAACGAGCACAAAGATTTACCTGCAGAATGGCAGGCATTATGCCGGAATTCCAACCAGGGCATGTGCTCTTTTAGCCCAAGAGTTTGTTGTGTGGGACTTGGTGTTTGATGGTTGCGTTCTTGTCAAGAAAATACATGGAATCACCGAACACTGACAAATGCAAGTAGTGAGCTGTTTTGTTTGTTAGCCTAGATTACGCTCCATTTCATTTTGGCGCTTTGACTTATAAGACTTAGAAAAACGCTATGCTTTGGAAAAGCTCGAGTAGGTGGGATGCAGGTAGGTCAGGAATCCCCAGTAAAGGCGACAAGGGGCTTAGGAAGTAGGATCATAAGTAAGTAAGGTAAGTATAGTTATACCTACTTCTGGCCCGATCAGGCTACCTGGAACCGTACTTGCTATTTCCCTTCATACTTCAAGTGAAGTTAGCCTTGTATCCGACTTATGATATGCCTGATATGCCGAATCCCGTCGGAAGTAAGGATAACTTCACTTATAGTAGTAGCCAAAAAGTTGGAACATCATTATCCTCATGCCCTTAAGGTAAAGTATAAGGGATCCTAGCACTAATCCTCCTAAAGCCATGTTCCAACTTTCTGGCTTCCACTGTAAAAGATGAGGGCAAATAGAAAGTAGGTTGGGGCTTTGGCGCACTCTCAGTCTGGCCGGAGGCTGCGATGCAAGCGCTGAAGATGCCCGGCTACGATCGGCGAAGTTCCAGACGGATTCAAGTGTTTAGGGACTGAGGATTCAGGGTTTAGAGTTCAGGTTCAGGGCTTGGGATTCAGGGCTTAGGGTTTAGTTTCAGCTTTTGGGTTAAAGGTCTAGGTTCAGGGTTTAGGGTTTAGTTGTTCCCTAAAAGGTCCAAATACCATCAGTCACATACGGTAGGGTTTGTCCTGGGGCTTTGCTGGGTGCATACGGGGCTTGTTGTGGATTTGGGCGGGTGTATATATTACCTATATACCGGTACAGGTACCCGATAGACTCAGGTAGGGTTTATACTCCTATAAGCCCCCTAGTTAGGAGAGTTGGATTTCAATTGTTGGTTTCCATAGGGTTCTTAGTTTCGAGCTAGCTTTTGCAACAGGTTCTAAATGCCATGATGCCCTGATAGAACCCTTAGAGAAACCCGACAAGGAACAAGGGTCAGGGTTAATGTGACCCTCAACCCTAAACCCTAAGGCTTTCCGAGACATAGGTGCAGCGTTTACATATGTCTCCTTTTTTGTGGGAGCTCCCCGCTTGCGTTTGGATAACAGGGTTTAGGCTTCAGGGCTTGGGTTCAGGGTTGGAGCGTTTTAGGGTTTAGGGCTACTGGCCCAACCCCAAGAAACAAGTGACCAGCCATATTAGTACTTGGCGTTCTTCTGGTTGGCTCTTTAGACTTTCCTTTTTGAGTTTCTATATGAACTATAATAAGGAGGCTAAAAGTTTAGCTTTTAGGAGGGGTTCAGAAGTCCGCCAAGACCATTTTGGCCTAATGATACGGCTGATGATACTTTTCGCAGATGACATCCCACAGCCGACTCTGATTATCTGGGCCCAAATTCCTCAACCCTAACCTTTGAACCTTAAACTCTAAACCCCAATCCCTAAACCCTAAACCTTAAACCTTAAACTCTAAACCCCAACCCCTACACCCTAAACCTTAAACTCTAAACCCCAATCCCTAAACCCTAAACCTTAAACTCTAAGCCCCAATCCCTAAACCTTAAACCTTAAACCCCACACCTGCACCCCCAATAGGTTTTGTAAGTTCATGGATTGGGGTGCGGAGCGCCCTCCCCCCCTAACTCCTCAATCTCCCAATCCGTAAGAAACCCCGAACCACTGAGCCGAGAGTAGGCCCTCATTTCCTGTTTTAAGGTTCCCTTATAAGCCCCTTTAATCCAAAAAGGGCACCCTTTTTCTTCCTAGGTTACTCATGGGTCTAGGAGCGCGATGCTAGGGTCTAGATTTTCGCGGTGCAGGGGTTTAGGGTTCGGGAGTTAAAAATCCCCAATTCCTCAGAACCCTTAGCCCGACATCTTGAACCCTGGGAACCCGTGCATTATAGGGGCCTCAACAATTACCAATACGATTCGTGCTGGTTACTTTTTTTACCTGTATTCCAAAACCCTATTCTAATTATCAAGGCCCAGATATGAACGGCACCCCTACAAGAGCATTTGCCTTCAAGGATCCTTGCAAGCTCAAGTCCTAGACCCTCAGCCCTAAAATTGAAAGCCTACGCCCTAACCTTGGACTCCTAACCTTGAACCCCAAACTCTCGAACCCTAAGCCCAATGCCCTAAACTTGAAAGCCAACACCCTATATTTTGGGGTTGAAAGTTTAGAACCCAAACTCTCGAGCCCGAAGCCCTTAACCACAAGCCCAAAGCCTGCGACGCGGACCCAGAGACTCCAATACCCTTTAAATCGGGAATATACCTCAAATCATAATAGGGTTCCTGTCATACTTTAAGGTATATTCCTTAACTAAGGGGTTTTGGAGTCTCTGGGGAACGAAGGAATCAAGGCTTTGATGTGATCTGGGCCAATGGAGTGAACGAGACAGGCCCGACGAGGGAGGTTTACTGTAATTAGGGGCCGTCATAATTACATATACCTTTTTGTGGGTTCCTTATTATAGTTTTAGTATAGTGGGCCCCAAAAAACCATATTCTATTTATTAAGGCCCCTACATGAATTTTTTCGGGCTTGAGGATTTGGGGCTTGGGGTGTTTAATCAGGGTTGGTGGCTTAGCGGTTTTGGGCTGAGGGTTTAGGGTTCAGGGTCCAGGCAGCTTCAGGATTTAGGAAGTTTTATAGAAGCCTGGCCAACAAGTAAGTTTCTCAGGACTCCTTGCATTAAAACGATTCTACGAAAACATGCTCCCACCTAAATCCGCTTCTCATGATTGAGGCCACTACATAATTAATCGCATCATCTATCGCATTGAGTCTGCTCAGAACAAATGTTAAGGTTTGCAGAGTGCCGCCGTTTCTTCGACTATATCCCAAAACTGGTCTTTTCTTCACCTTCTGAGAGGAGTCGTGTTCAGGATTTAAGGTGTTGGTTTGGGGGGGTTCAAACATTGGGTTTCGCAGGCTTTGTAGCGCCGTTCTGAAAATTCCTTGGTTTGGAACTTGGGGCTTACGTTTGTCATCGCAGGGTTTGCCTGGACACTACTTCACTTCGGCGGTTTCTAAAGACATCACAGTAGATTTAGGTTCGGTTCGACACGTGGGAGTTTCCGAAAATCAGGGGTGCAGCTTATTTTGGGGTCCTTAAATAGGCATGCTACCAAAAGGGTAGTTGCTAGATTAGGGTCCCCTATTTTCGGAAGCTGCCGGGTGTTCAATCGTCGGAAGCAAGGGCTGTGCGTTCCAAATGAATCACACGCTTTTGCTGTTTCTGTTCAGTGTTTGGCATGCACGGCTGCTCCCGTATGTGCAGATCGTAGAAAAGCTGTACAATCTGGGCCGCGAGCTAGTTCACACACCTTCCTGGCCAGCTCGCTCTCAATCAAAGCTTAAAGCCAGATTCTCTGCCCTCACACACTCCTGGACCCTGAACCCCAAACCTAAGCCCCTCAGCCGTGGCCGTAAATCTAGGGCCTAAGTACAGACTGCACTCCGGGTCAAAGGCGCCAAAAGGCTACGTATACACAAGGAACCTGTGTTTCGGGTCATAGTTAAGACCCCTTCCCCTACAAGACTTGCATATGACATCCTTTTTTTCACATCGTTTGTTGGGCCTTCGGTTGCTGTACTGCCTCGTGATGTTTACCTCAATTATAGGTGCTGTTGGCCTAGTCCCCGTTCAATCGAGTTGGGCTAATCATATTTTTGATGAACTAGCTTCCCCTCCAGTCTCACTGAGGCTTCTCTTTAGACCTGTGTCCCGGGGCATCCTTTGTCCGATACTGCATGCTTAGTTCTGCAGACCAACTTCCCGGTCTCTGCATTTGGGTGTAATTTCGATGCTCCTGGACAACCGAGCGTCGTATTGGTGGCCCGTGCTCTGGGAAAGATTTGACAGGACCTTTCCATAGCAGTCGGGCAAATAATAGACTTCATCTTTGGCAGGCGAGTACAACGGGCACATAGTGGAAAGGGTTCACAACTAACCCAAAACAAACTGGACAAGCAGGTCTCGAGCCGCCTGTGACATGCGATTGGTTTCGGGGCTCGCGGTTGACGGCGATTGCTTCAAGTTGAAGACCTTAGTTATACCGAACATTGTGCTGTCTTGCTGATTGGACCACGTATGTTTCATGTTGGATGTTCGGTTGGCATCTATCGAGGCTATGATCATCCGTCTGACCGTTTCGGATGTTTGTGGTGCGGGGACGTGGTGACGGAGGTTTTAAGGTTCCGTGCCTTAGCCGACGATTAAGCAGGCCATTGTATTGCCTTAACATGTAAGGGGGGCAGCGAAACTCCGCATAGACACTACAGGGTAGCACAGCCCGAAGCCCTAAGATAGCTTACGTTTGAGACCGAGGAGTATTGCACAAGTAAAGCTCAAGTATCCTCGCAGGCTGGCACTGATGGTTGTTTCATTTCTGACTCCAGAAGAGCCCACGGCTTTTCGGTTTCAGGGAACTCTGATCCATTGAAGCGCGGAACACCACACGAAACCTTTCCAAAGCAGTTAGCTCATGGCCATGTTTTGCAGTTGCAAAGGCCTGCCCTTCGACCTCCTCGTCCGCCCTGCGGGTGGCGTCTTGGTCGAGGTCGTCTTTATGAGACCTAATATCACCAGGTTTTTCTTCTGCTTCTATGTGGTTTTCATACGGTTCACATATCATAGGGCTCGCGGGATGTTTGCAATTTTTTTTTCGGATTATAGGGCTGCGGGGACTCATCGAACCTTTGGGTCATTTCATTCTGAATATTTCTGTGGCACCCTGACCACAGAAAGGGTTATCCAGAAAAACGGATTAGGGTTTGAGATTCCATCTAGGGTTTACCAGCGTTTTGGTTTTGGGGCTTCGTATGGGCCCCTAGCAAGGTTTGAGGCATATAAAGATGGATTGCTGCTAAAGCCGCAAAATCCATAAAGGTTTCCTAACATGGATCACAGGAACCCCGGCAGAAAGCTTTAAATGGAACCAGAAAGGAAGCTTAAGGCCCTTGTATCTATCCCAGTTGAGGTCGTTTGCCCTGGCCACCAGCACTGGCAGCCCTGTCGCAGCACAAAGGCGCGCAGCCCAAGGCGGGAGCACTCAGGGTTTCATGGTGTGTGTGTGTGTGTGTGTGTGTGTGTGTTTGTGTTTGTGTTTGTGTCTGTGTGTGTTTGTGTGTGTGTGTGTGCGTGTGTGTGTGTGTGTGTGTATGTTCGTTTTCAATGGAGTGGTTTTAGGATTTCGTAAAGTTTTCTGAGGGTTGCATAAGCTTTTCTCATGGTTTCATACAAGAGTTTCATAAGGAGGATTGTTTGGGGTTTTGTAAGGAGCTTATGAAGGGGTTTACAGGGTTACAAATAGGGTGTTGGAGGAAGTTGTGGTGTCAGAGATTTGCGTCCCTAACCTCCTTGTTTGGGGTCGCCTCAAGTGTTTGATGCCAACCATATGTACAAAGATAACCTTTCAAGCACCCCACCAAAACCTAACAAACATCCGACCAAACCTGAAAAAAGACCCATCGGAACCTGACAAAAACCCTTGGAAACCTTACAACAGTTGTGATTGACGGCCACATCACGAGTCAGGGCCGTTCCTCTTCAACAGCATCGCCGTATCATGTTCTGTTTTCGGTCATGCTGACACGCAAACCTTGCAGAGCACAACTCACACTCTATCATCAATCGGAAAAAATTCGGGATGTTGTCGCAGTCGCCGTCCCATTGCGAAGAACTTCCAAAACCTGAAAAAATCCGCCAAAGCCTGACAAAACCCCAGTTTTCCCACTAGAACCTGAGAATCCCACTGGAACCTGAAAGACTCCCACTCTTTTCCGACATGTTTCCCAGTTTCCGACCGCGGTCAGTTCATACCCTTGCCTGGAAGGTATGCCCAGGCATGTCTCACCATAGGAAACTGACAGCGGACAAAAACAACAAGACTACCTTCAGATATCCTGTCCAAAGTGGACGAATTGAGCAGAATTTCGGTTTCTGATCATCAGTTTTTCAAATCGAAGAATACCGTCTTTTGCAAGCCACCAAGCAGAGATCTAAGATGGCGGTTTGGGCCTTAAGCAGGCTTTTTGGAGACTTTTGCCAGGTTTTATGCGCCTTCATGAGGGTTCTAGAGGGTTTTCATGCTTCCATAAGATTTCATGCGGTCGCAGATACTTTTACTTGTGAACATCCTGGTTGTCAAGTCTGCTTTCATATCCTGGAGCCGTCAAAAAAATGCATTCTGGAATATGCGATAAACTTAACCAAGTCGGGATGGCCTTGCCTGTGATTTTCGTTTAAAGATTGTTTTGGTCCAACACCCAAGTTCTAAATCCTGAGATGTAGCTCCACTTGAGGGCTTGACGGGCATCTTGCCTTATTTCGATCCCAAAGCTCGAGCGCCTAAGCCTTCATTTTATGTCTCCTACTGGGAGGCTACTAAGTAGGGCTATATCTACTTTTTATCGCAATACGTACTAGCCACCACTTACTAAGTCCCCTGATCCTTTAAGTAAACCTAAACCCCAAACCCCTAAACCCTAATCCCACCACCTACTAAGTTCCCTGATCCTGTAAGTAAACCCTCAACTGAGGACATGGTGCCAACTTGTGTAGAACCTTGGCTCCGTCTAACAAAAGGTGCGGAAAACTTAGTATTTAACCGTACCCCCGTATAGCTCCTGTACTGTTACAGTCATACTATAAGCGTAAGGTACCCTGCTAGCTAAACCCTAAACCCTAAACCCTAAACCCTAAACCCTAAACCCTAAACCCTAAACCCTAAACCCTAAACCCTACCCTCAAAACCCTCTTCTGAAGATTGAGGGCTGTATATTAGGTCCTGCTTCTGCCGGTTCCTTTCCATCTACAGAAGGCCTACAGAATACCTGACCATTAGGTGTTCTGGACACTTCTGGAGGTGGCGGGGGGGGGGGGGGGGTATTTGGGGGTTTAGGATTTAGGGTTGGCCGGCGTCACCCTAAACCCTAAACCCTAATCCCTAAACCCTAAACCTTAATCCCTACACCCTAAACCCTAATCCCTAAACCCTAATCCCTAAACCCTAAACCTTAAACCGCAAGCTGACACGGCTTTGGATGCAACCCATGTGGTCGTCTTTTTTGTCTGCCCTCTCTCTCCTGGCAGGCGCATTCCCTGCGAGAGATCGAGGACCGGCGTAAGGGCTTGGGGTTTAGGGTTTAGGGCAAGTTTAGGGTTTGGGGTTTAGGGTTATTGTTCGATGTGTTGGTGGCAGATTTTAGGGGTGCTGTTCAGGATTGTGCGCTGATGGGTTGCTAGGGCTACGATGCTTGAAAGTTGTGAGCGCTTGGAAATTTCATGGCTTTTGAGGCTGGGGGTGTTGGGGTGTTCACCCTAAGCCCTACACCGCTGAGCACTAAAATTTAGAAGCCCCCAATGAAAGCCCTAGAAAACCACAGTAAAAGAATCTATCCGGGTGCAAGACCGCATAGCGTTTCCTCAACTACATCCCTAACCTCACGGAGCTCAGTGGCCGAACCCCCGGTTTAGGGCTTGGCGTTTAGAGGTTGTTTACGGTTTGCCCCACCCCTTTCTAAACAATGGCAACGCTGAAGACGCAAGCAGCTCCAGCCTGCGCCTTTCCTTGTTCAGAGTGCAGGTGGTTTACCATCAGTTGTGATTCGAAGATCGGCTACATCGCTCAATCTAAGCCCTTCGTCTTCACTCTTAACCCGCAGGATCCAGCTGAAAGCGTTACGGGGTGATGTGTAAGGGTTTTAGAAGGAAGCAACACTCGGAAGCCACAAGCCACGAGAACCCTTGCAGAAGGGTACCGGAAGCCTTAAAGAACGCCCCAAATCTGAAATCCAAAGACCAACCACAAGCCCCAAACCGCACACCCCTAAACCTAAACCCGACATCCCCCAAAAGCCCTAAACCCTAAACCTTAAACCCTAAACCCTAAACCCTAACCCAACCCCTTCACTCCTCATGTCTTTGGTGCCGCACAGGCAGCATTGGCGAGATCACCGGAGGTGGCTTAGCAGCAAGCAGAGCTCGAGGGTACGGCTTAGGTTTGGGTTTAGGGGTTGATGGGTTGAGGGTTTAGGGGTTTAGGGTTTAAGGTTTAGGGGTTTAGGGGTTGAGGGTTTAGGGGTTTTAGGGTTTAAGGTTTAGGGGTTTAGGGGTTGAGGGTTTAAGGATTTAAGGGTTTCAGGTTTAGGGGTTTAGGGTTTCGGGTTTTTAGGTTTTGGTGGACTCGGCTCCTAAATCAAGCAGCGGGGTTTGCGGTTCATGGCTTGGGGTTTAGAGTGGTTTCTGGAAATCGGAGCCCGGAGCCCTACGCCGTAATGTCATGGGTTTAGGGTTTAAGGTTTAGGGTTCAGGGTTTAGGGTTTAAGGTTTAGGGTTTAGGGTTTAAGGTTTAGGGTTTAAGGTTTAGGGTTTTGGGTTTAGGGTAGTGATATCCACCACTCCAAATCCTGAGCCCCTAAATCCGTGAAGCGCTACAGCCGCAACTCCCTGACTCTTACGGCTCAACCCTGTCCTAAACCCTTACAGACTTAGGTACCGCAAAGCCACTGCAACTCTAAATGCGAAGCCTTGAACCCTGAACGCCCTAAACCCCCGCAAAGTTTCCACCCTGTCACAGGTGGCTGTGGTGGAGGTCAAGGCAAGCTTAGCCGCTGCACGAGGCGAAAGGGCTCCGAATTTAGCTTTCAAGGTGGGGTTGGTTTAGGTTGTTTTTGCTATTGATATGAGGTTTTCGTCCTGAAAATTGAGGGTTTAGGGTTTGAGGGTTTATATAGGCACTAGGTTTTAGGGTTTAGGGCTTTAGGGTTCAGATGCTGCGGTTGTGTGCCCAAGTTTGATCGTTCTACCTTCAGGCATTCTGTCACCTACGAACCCCAAACTAACATCTACACTTAATCTTTAAGCCTTAAATCAAAGTCCCGAACCCTATAAACCCTCAACCGTAAGCTTAATTCCTAATGTGAGTTCGGGGTTCGAGTCATGACAGAAGGAGTCATACGAGTCGGGTTAAGAGTTGGCGATGAAGTATTGAATGTTTAGCTTAGAGGGGTTTATGCTTGGTCTGTCTAGTCCAGGGAACTGGACTTTCTAGTGTTGCTCTCTGCATTTGGTTTATGAGTCAAAGTTTGAGCTTTAGTTGGGGGTCCTGGTGAAGCTTTGTTGCCCAGACCCGAAAACCTGCCGGACATATGATCCGACGCCCTGAACCCAAATACCTAAACCCTGGGTACGGCCCCTATTCAGTAATAGCTGAATAATATTCATAATAATAATAATATAGATATGTTAGGACCTTAATAGTAGCCCCCTGCTATAGGCTCTTACTGTATGGGGGCAGTACCTAACCTATAAGCCCGTTACCTGAACTCTCAGTCCTCGAAACTTATCCTCCTGATCTCAACTCAGACACAGATGGAGGCCACGGGTTCAAGTTGGGGCTGTTCCACTTAGGGACATTATGGTGGCTTGCTGAGCTCGGGATTCGTGGGCTGCTTGAGTTTCACTGCTATGGCTACGTCCCAAACCTTTTCGATTCAGCGGTTGACAGGGTTCAGGAAGCCCGGGCTTTCTCAAACCCTACAGAAACCATATGGGTGGTCCTGGGTGGTTGTCAATATTAGGATCCCTGTTTGGGTCCTTGTTATAATACGGCACCTCATATTTAGGGTACCCAAAAAGGGACCCTAATTTTGACAACCACCCATATACGGCCCCAATCTAAACACCTGATTAGGAGACTCTGGCCCTGTAGCCCAAATATATTGGGATCCATATTAAGAACCGAAATAAGGCCCCAAGGTTTCTTAATCAGGTTTCTACAGTATAATGTCCCGGAAGAAGCTCCCTGGACCCTAAGGAACCTACATTTTTAGGGTTCCCTAATATGATTTCTTTATATAAGTCCTTAAAAAGGTAGGTTGCGTGGGGTTAAGCTCGTGCATGGCAAGGCGACGTCTTCGACATCAGCGCCTCACAGATGTCCATGGCGCAACGCCCTCCGCTACCAATACTATTTGGGAGGCTCCTTAATTTAGGGTTTAGGGTTTAGGGATGACCTATAAGTACTATTTTGAGGGGCTTCCTTTGAAGGTTCCTTCCTTTAATTCCTTCTGCATGTTTTTGATTCTTACCTGCAGCGCGAGACGCTTCTACGAGGTGTGTGAATGAATGAATTTTGAGGGGCTCCTTATTATTATAATGAAAGTATAGTGGGCCCCAAAACCCTACTCTAATCATTAAGGCCCCTAAATTAGGATCCAGAAGGTTTTGTTGAAGGCGCTTTGGGATTTCTGAAGATGCTTGTGGATGGTTTTCAGGGCCGCAAAAGACTTGTAATTACATACCCTCGTGGACCGTTTCAGCGCATCTAATTTTGCGTTTAAGGTGAGCTCAGGTCAGGGGCTTTAGGCCTTAGTGTTGATATACTAGGACTCGGAGTAGGCCCTTATTCCCTTTTTTAGGGTTCAGGTTCCCGTATAAACCCCTTTAAACCAAAAAAGCACCCTTTTTATTCCTAGGTTACTGTTGGGTCTAGTATAGGCTTGAAAATGCAGGATACGATGCCCCATCTCCATAGTTTGCATGTCTCAGCAGTGCGGAACCCTTAAACTCATGTAGACCCTACATACTGAGGTAGTAGCAAGGCCGCCTAAACAAGCTACCCCTACCTCAGAAAGCCTTGCCAATGAAGCTTTTTCTGAAGCGTTTTTCGCTGTCGGAAAATGAAGTGAAAACGATGATGCAGCAAGAAGAGGTGGACGTGGTGAAGGACCCCGATACGAAGCAGCTCTACTGTAGCTACCCTTAAGCCCTTAAACCCTAAACCCTAAACCCCTAAACCAAACAAAACTTTACCCCAAGCCCGCCACAATCTGCTGCCTCCGAGGTCTGGGTAGCCGATATTGGTTGGCCTTGGTGCGCAACTTGTCACAGGAGATGGTAGCTTCAGAGCTTCTCAGACCCTTCTGGGTTCTAGAGTCTAGGGTGTTAGGCTTCAGGTTTTAAGGGTTAGGATTGAGGGGTTAGGGGTTTAGGTTTTAGGGTTGTAAAGCTTCGGGGTTTCATTCAGGGAGATGCTGTTTTGCCATTGAGTTGAGTCGAACCCTCTAGAGCCTGTCGCATATTCCTGAATTGAAGTGCGGAGGTGAGAGTCTCAACTATTTGGGAATGTGTGCCTTGACGGCTTGGCGAAGATGCCGCATTGCGGTCTGGACGGCTTAGGCCTTAGGCTTTAGGGGCTCGGGGTCAGGGATTTAGGCTGTCGGGTTTGGGGGTTTGGTTCCAAGTCTTTGTTCCAAGCCTTTTTATCTTAAACTCCTGAGAACTATATCCCTTCTTCTTAGGGAGCTCTGCGTGCCGCGGCCCTTGTCAACGACAAATTTAACTTAGGCGTACTTAGATTTTTTAATTTTGGGTTATTTTAATCCCTAAGAAACGGCTAAAATCATAATTGTTGCTAGGGTTCTAAGTTCAGTATAGGTAATGGAAAGCCTAAACCACAGCCTTGTTTTTGCAAATGCCCTTCGGCGAGATCCTTCTCTAGGTCTCCCAGCGGACAATTTGTCCCATGTTTTGTGTGGTCTTCGGTTCCTTGTATGGGGTTTCCGAAAATAGGGGACCCTAATATAGTACCATAATTGCTGGGGATCCTAGTCACTCCGAGTCCCTCTTGTAACGAATCCTCCAAACCCCCAGTCTAATAATTAAAAGGCTCCCCTACACTTTCCCCTTATGATTAAGGCTCCTAAATTATCTTTCCTTTGAAAACGGCCCTTCCTAAATTAATTTCCTTAGCCCTGAACCCTGGGCTCTAAACCCTAAGTTCAAAGCTTAAACACTTAAGTCCTAGAACCATAGAAGTTCCTTAACCCCAAACTCTAAACCTTAAAGGAAAGCTTAGACCCTAAACTCTAAACCCTAAATCCCATAGATTCCTCAAAAAGGTCCGAGTTCTTCTTGCTCCCCAAACCCTAAACCCTAACCCCTAAACCCCTAAACCCTAAACCGTTCTTGCTCCTCCCAAGGCAAGTTAGCCGAGGGAGCTGGGCGCCTCCAAGTCATTAAGGACCTGTGCTACCGGAGGTTTTGAGACTTTCCGGGTTCCTTTACGGGCTCCTTCAAGGGCTCCTTTCAGGGTTCCTTTACGGGCTCCTTTAAGGGCTCCTTTAAGGGTTCCTTTAAGGGCTCCTTCAAGGGCTCCTTTAAGGGCTCCTTCAAGGGTCCTTTAAGGGCTCCTTCAAGGGCTCCTTTAAGGGCTCGTTTAAGGGTTCCTTCAAGGGCTCCTTAGAGGGTTCCTTTAAGGGTTCTGGGTTTAGGGTCTAGGCAGGGTTACCGGAGGTTTTGAGAGTTTCAGGGACCCATGAAGGGTTCCTTAAAGGGTTCTATAAGGGCTTAGGGTTTCGGGGTTTAGGGTTCAAGGGTTAGGGGTTTAGGGGTTCGGGGTTGGGGATTTCGGGGACTGAGGGTATAGTGGCATAGGGTTAGAGGCGTTACAGTTTTGAAGTTAGGGATACCTTTAAAGTTCGTGGGTTTCAGTTTTTTCAGCGTTTGAGTTTGAGGGCTTTGTGCGGGGTCTAGCGAGTCATGGAGGGCGCTCAGAGGTTCATGGTTTAGACTCAAGTATTTAGGGGGCGAGGGTTCATTGGATTTCGGATGCAAACGGAATAACGAGGTTTTAGATTTGAGCTTTGGGTGGGGTGTCTTACGGTCTTCGGCATTACTCTAAGCCATTTGCAGGTGGGTAGTTATATGGTGGGTAGTTTCCCATAAGCCTCCCATACCGCTCCTATAAGGGAAAGGGGGTCTTATGGGAGTCCTGTAAGGGGCTTCTAATTACGGTGTTTACGTACTTGTTTTTTGGGGAGCAGCAATTGGTATTATGGACTATAGCACTGCCGAACCCCTAGTCATAGGGACGCTTAGAAGGGTGGAGGGAGGGGGGGTAGGGGGCCCTAATGCCCACAAGAAGGACCCGATAAGGAAGCACAGTCCCCTACCCCCCTCCCCGCTACCCTTCTAAGGGTCCGTATGACCTAGCCTGGCAACATAGAGGCCAGCAAGCGAAAGTACCCGCATAGGGCCCCTTTTCCTACCCACCTTACACCCAAAGGCCTAAGCGTAACCCTTTTCCACCCTGCCGCTGGAGGTTTGGGGTTCATGGAAGCATAAGGTTGTAAGACTGTTGGTGGTTCGAAGGAGGAACCGAAAACGAACGCGTTTTTGGAAACCACCCTACTCGTAGTAACGGTAACGCCTCACAAACGCACGACCCCCCACAGAGATTCAAAGTTGGACGAGTCGTAGAGGTTAGGGTTGAGGGTTCATTCTTAGGGTTTAGGTTGTGGTGATTGGTGATTCGGTCGGGATCTTTTGGAGACTCGCGCTTTAGGTTAGGGTCGCGAGTTTGGGGTCGAGGTCGTAAGGTTTACAGTTCAAGTGCCCTAAACCCTATCCCTAAACCACGAAATCCCCGAGCAGGAAACATGAACTGCTAGGCTAACTAACAAATAAGCGTGTACTGGTACACGTATGCCTGCATGCACGGCTGCATGTTTGCGCACGGGTCCGCATGTAATTACGTATGTAGACACTCACGCAGGTGTGTGTGCATGCACGTCTGCAGGTATCCGGGGAATACTTTTGCGATTTCGAAAAGCACAGGCT